TCGGCAGAAATAAGCTAGGGACACGAACTCTTTTCAAGTCATTCAGAATTGATTAGGACTTACATGATGCATATAGTTTCGATTCTAAAGCACATTGACATCTGAGAAAGTTGTTTCATTAGTATAAGCAAAACTCAGTAAATATATTGTTTATTTTAAACGTCTTCTGGATATCTATCAATACAAGTACTACTAGATGTTGACCGAATTATCACTTTTTGGTTATATCCAAAATCAAAAAAAAACAACACTTTCTTCGTTATTTTTAGTAGAAGTCTCTAAAAATAGAGCTCTTTTCTTTGTCAAAGGCATAATCATTTAGCATCAACACACATCCGCCAAAAAATTAATATCAATCATGATTGCCAATTCTTTTAATTTCAAGCAATCAAAATTTTCACAAATACAAGTATTGACAATGTTCTACGATAAAAATCTCTTTTATGTATTGGTAATTTAATAAACGTGTCTAGGAGTAATTATTGTTATTTCACTTATTCCACACGCGTATATCAGAAAGTGACAGATAATATCCTATGAGGAAAAAAAAGAGAAAATCGTTGATAATACGAGTATTCTTAGAACAGTACAGACAATATATCGTAACTTCTTGATATAATATCTAGTACCATTCTGTTTTTCTAAAGAATATGATCTGTCACTGGCAACATTTAATCTTCTCAATAGCTAAATAACTGAAAGAAATGAAAACTAAATTTTTTTTGTCAAACTTATTTAAGTCAGTTGCCCATGTTGAAGTTTGAATAGTTTAGATGCAATTCGTTCAGAGTGAAATGTACCACCAGTATAGTTGTCTGCGAAGTCGCATCTGTTCCTATTTTAGAAAGATCTCTTCATATGTGACCCATGATAATGTGCACTACGCCAATTAGGTCCTATCACTACGGAAACAGTTTTTTTCATATAGAGAGTCTAAAGAACTTTTTTTTCGGATTATGCTGTAAAGAGCATTGAAGTGACCTCATAGTATGTTTTCAATAAAAAAACGCATTTTTTAATAGACTGTTCTTCCTAATCAGATATTTTTTCTGGATTTTGCTAACTCGAAACTAACACATCACTATAACGATAGTAGCAATTATTATGGACACAAATACTAAAAAAATCAATAAGCTATAACAATTATTTTTAAACAATTGATTGTTAGAGGGAGTCTTGTAATGTGTCGAAAACTTTACAACTTATCTTCTTTTCATTATTTATAGAAGTGTGGGTATACAGTTCAAATTTTTTGATGAAAATATTTGAATTAATTCTTTTTTCTTTAGATAGATTATTTATATTCAATAATTTTCCATTCATATAACAAATATTATTCTTCTCTCTTCCAGTAAAATTAGAATATCTATCAACATAAATATTATTTTTCTTAAAAAACACAATATTTTTCATATAAATTATAACTACTTTGACAATAACTTTTTTTTTTCTCAAAACATGCAAAAAAGAAAAAGAAATTCTTAAATTTCTAATTTGACTTCTTATTTTTCTCATTTGTGATGTCTCATCATTCCTTAACTATAAAATAATTATATACAATTATTTAACTGAACACTAATTTGATAAAAGTAAGTCATTTATAAAGTGTATGAAGTAAAAAAAAAAAAAAAAAAGAAACAAGAAAAAAAAACAAAGTTTAAATTTAGTTCGATATTTTATTGTTCAATATCAATAAATTGATCTTGATCATCATCATCATCATCATCCGTATAATGCATTGAGTGAGATGTATTTTCATCATCATCTGATGTACATGAAGATGAGACCGTTAAAGTACCTATTTGTTTTTCATTTTCAATTCTTTGTAATTCTGCATAAGATGGTATTGAATTTTTTTTAGGACGACCTTTTGGTTTTGTTGGTGCTTCTTTACATCCCTGTTGTAATACCTGAAAAAGAAATAAGATCGTAAATATATATATATATATATATACTAATATCTGCCCCAAAATTAAAGATGGATGAGTATAAACTCAATAATTTCATAACAGCAACAGCCATCGACCAATCGTTTTCAATAAATGAAAGAGCAGAACTTTCGAATGTCTTTTTGTCTGATAGTATATAGGACAAAATTATTTCAAAACCCATCATCTTTGCAAAGCATTCAAGAACAAAATGCATGAAAATGGTGTTCTATTTCAAGAAAATTTTGATTTAGACGTGCGTCCAAGATGAAGAGGCTTCAGATCGATAATTCAAGGCACAATTCAAGTGATTATCTTTTCATATGTCAATGTTAAGCAGACAAAATTATGTATCTATTTAATTAAATTCTATGAAATTCTGTTGGTCTTTAGTAAATTTTCTTGAAATAGAACACCATTTTCATACATGTTTTTTACAAAGCTTTGCGAAGATGATGAATTTTACAATAATTTTGTCTTATATAGTATCAGACAAAAAGACATCCGGAGTATTGCTCTTTCAATTGCTGAAAACGTAGGTCGACAGCTGTTGCCATTGTCAAGTTATTGAGGTTATATCCATCCCTCTTTAATTCTGATGCGAACATTCGATATGGGCAAGATGGTCGTGGTCTCGATGGCATCGGGATCGAGACTAAAAACGATTGACTACGCGCTCATTACTAATATATACATACTTGTTTTTTCCATTTCATTCGACGATTTTGATACCTAAAAAAGAAAAGAACTAATTATTATTTTAAAATAATAATAAATGTTTTATAGATACCAAGTTTTAACTTGTAATTGAGATAAACGTAACATATCAGCAAGTTCAATACGATCTGGTGTTGATAGATATTTTTGTGTTTCAAAACGTTTTTCAAGACCAAGTAATTGAGCATCTTTAAAGAAAGAAGAAGAAAGAAAAACTCAATGAGATTTTTTATATTTAATTTCTTACCAGAAAAAACTGTTCGTGTTCGTCGACAACGTCGATGATGAATAAATGTATCCAAATTAGGATATGTTGAATTTAATGGTAATGTTGATAAATGACAATTATGTAAATTTGAATTACAATGTGTTAATCGATGTTCTATAAGAAGAATAAATTACAAAATAATTTGATTTTTCTCAAAAACTTTTGAAATCTTCCTACCAGAACATGAATGTTTAGTTGTTGTTGTTGAAAATGAAAGATAAGATGTTGGTAATAATGATGGAAATTGATAAGATCGTTGTATAAATGTTGGATAGATTGATGTTTTTGATTTTTCATATTTAAGAATATCATCAATTGAAAATGGTAATGGTTTATCAGTAAAAGTCATTTTCTATATTATACAAAACAAATTGAATCTCAATATATTGCTTATGATATACGACTAAGAACCAATGAGAGTATAACAATGATCGTTTGCATATCCTGCTGTGTAAAACACAGTTAGAGGGGGAAAAAAAGAGAGAGAGAGAGAGAAAGAAAGATATCTCATTATTTTCTGAGAATCATCATTGTTATATATTATGAATGATAACGATTGGATGAATGTTAGAAGAGAAGAGAGATATTATTTTTAGAACGTATGCGCTTATGCTTAAATATAAACATCAACCAGTAGTATACAATTGATTGTTATCATTCTGTACATATAATGATAGATTAAGACAATACCTGGTTATATAGTCAAGATGACAGTTCTTTTATTTAAAGGTTACCTAAATACCAACAAGTTCCAAATTGTTCTTTCGATAGTACTGTCTGATCGAAAGACGACACACGGAGATAAGAGAGCGTAATTGCATGTGTGAATATCATATATTGATAACAAACATATTGTATAGATCAAATATTAAAAAAAGAAAGAAAGAAATCTTTAATCGTAACAGTGATTAATTACTTGTTCAGAAGATTTTAACATTAAATTAAAGAGAATTTTTCTTAAGTTCATTTGTAGAACAAGACCGATCCTATGGGAATGTAAAGTTCTTTTTGCAAAGCTATTTTACTTCATTAAATAAAGCACAATATTGGATATTTTAGACTTATGTTCAGGAGCGTAGCTAATGAAAGGCGCGCACGGAGCGTAACACCCTTTCCATGGTTTTTAAACTTGCCTATGCTGCATGCTCCCTCCTGTCTTCAGTGGTAAGTTATGCCCTTGCCAATGCTATTATACAGTTTTGATATTTGTCTTTTCAACATATGAAAAATGATGAAATTCTTTCTTGCTGTGTGCAAACTGTAATCAACTATCATCATTATCAATATGCAAGTGATTAAAAATTGAAGTATGATGTTATATGTTATTGTTTGATTATGATCCAATCGTCAATATTTTTCTAAGCTATGCATCGTACGTCACCTTCGACAATCTATTATCATTCATCATTTCTATCTCAGCTTGCTACTGGGTGATTTGATTATTTTTTGATTATGTTTGTGTCTTCCTCATAATATCATCCAATAGTAATCATAGAATCAATGATAACATTCGATGCATATCCTATCCAATAAAAATAGCAAGAATATCAACAATAATTAATTGAGACAAAAAAAAGAAGAAAGAAAAGAAAAAAAGAAAAAAAAGGAAGAGCTTTTCTATTTTCTTAATGAAATAGACAGCTGTCCAATGTCGTTCAATTAACGATCGGAAGTAGCTGTTGGTCACAAAGGATTAATTGAGGGCGGACCACCATGGTATAATAACATACGAGAGAGAAATCACTAGGGACTCGTTTCACTTAATTTCGTTCTTCCATTCATAAAGACGTTATTGATATGAGAATCTAAATTGTAAATAAACATTGGACAAGTCAAATAATGAAAAGGTTTCATAATGAAAAAAGAATAAGTTGATTGAAAAATAAAAAAAAAATTGAATTCAATAAGAAAAAACAACGTAAATTATATTTGGCTTATTGCAACTGATTTTGTTATTTTTCTATTGTCAATAAATAAAAATATAGTTCGGTGGTACACAAAAAAGAAAAATTCAATCAATTTTTATTTGAAACATCAAAATAAAAATTTTCATTAACAAAATAAAAAAGTAAAAAAAGACTATAATCATGAGAAAAAGACCAAAGGCAATACGTCCAATTCGTCAAGTTAATTTGTCATTACCAATTGTTCAAACTGATGCATATGAAATTTATTATACAGTACCTCCATCGCATGCTCAACAATCACCAATAAATCGTCCAGTAACACGTCCAAAACCTCTTATTAAAAATAATAATAAAAGTAACAATAATAATAACAGTAATAATAATAACAATAATAATAATAAGTCGAATAATCAAACAACAGGAATTCGATCTTCAAATCATAGTAAACATCTGACTGGTCCAGTATTGGTTAGTTTAATTGTTGAAATGCCTCCAATACCGACAGATTCAACATCTACAATTGTTGATGCTATATCAAACGCATTGATTAATAGCGGTTATTCGGGACAAACATTACGTGCTGTACCGACCATAGCAAAACAAAATAAATGTCCAAGTGTAAAAAATGATGATGTAAAATCTCAAACATCATCTATTGATAGACTTTTATATGAATCAGTTGTATCATTTGAAAAACCTCGTATAAATAAAACAAAAAATAATCGATATCAAAATGTTCATCATCCACAATTAACAACAGTTAAAGTTTTACAAACACGAAGAACAACAACAACAAAACATATATTTAATTCTAATAATATGCATTTAAGATTACCAAATGTATTCTCATTAGAAAATCTCTTACACGAATCAATTATGTCATCTCGTGTACGTCTTCATGAACAAATTGAACAATTAACACGTAGTTATTTTCCAACAATACAACAACTTCGTCGTGGTCATCATCCTTGTTCTGAATTAATCAATAATCGAATGCATTTACATCGTGAAGAAAAACGTGATTTTGTTCCTACACTTTCTCGTTCACGTGCAGTTCGATAAAAATATAGATATTATATTCTTCTTTTATTATGTTCATATGACATTTGTATATATAGAACTTATAATACAAATATTCTTTTATGGAATGTCAACATTTATCTTCACTCATCTTAATAAATTTTAATGATGTCGTTTTTTTTTTCTATTTAAAAGAAAAAATAACATACTAATAATGTTAAAATAACTGTCATGTTTCTATAACAAAGCAGAGATAAACAAAAAGAAAAAGGTACAGTAATATGTCTCTATTGTATAAACATCATGGAAACTATTAAAAAATGTTCACTATATAGAAGAAGTGTTCAGTTTAGAAAGTTGATGCATGATTTGTTGTGATACAAAGAAAAGCTTCTAGGATATTTGCGTCTACATTAGTCTTAGGATACAAGCTTAGCCATTTATTCATCTATTTTCATCTAAATGATTTGAAATGAAAGATTTTTCAATTATAACACAAGATATAGTTTTTTTTTCGCATCGTGATGCTATTATTTTCTTCGTACATACGATAGTGGATTCATAGATAAAGTGTACTGAGCCGTCGTACACTCAAGCCAAGTGATAGGCAAGAGAGACCGTAGAAAAAAGTATTTACATTAGAGAGAATCATTTCCAGCAAAGAATCGTCCCGTCTAACCTGAGACCGTTCATAATTAGGAGTTGTTCATTTGTAAAGGTTTTATTATACATTCTATGGCGTTCTTTTTCTTTTTCTTAAATGTCAATATTAAATTTGAGATTTTCTTCAGTCAGCAATAGGCATCGTTAGAATCTAAATCAGAACGATTTTTGTATTTGTTTATTAATTTTTAAATTTTAGTTTCAATAAAATGGATACAATAGTATATATGAAGAAATCTATTAATTGATTAGATGAATACATAGCCAAAATTTTATTACTTTAAAAAATCAATCTAATATATACGTTCTAGTAAAAAAAAAAGAATCGGTTAAGAAAATTAAAACGCTTGAAAGTGCTTGTAGTTCTTTACAATGATCTAAGAGATAATTCTATTGTGTTATTCGAAACTATCTCATTACTTTTTCGATACAAGATAAAAGATATATCATATTTAGTAATGTGGTAATTTTACTTAAACAAAAAAGAAACTTGCGCTATTGAGTAGTTCTTTTAAGAGTATTCTGCTGGTTTTGACTCTTTTTGGTTCTTGAAGACGGTATAATCGATAAAGCTGAAGGTTTTAGACCAAAAATAAGAAGACACGTGTTCGAGGAAAATATTTTGAAGTGGGTTTTAGCGTTTTTTTCTGGGAAAATCTGGTTTTCAGTGGATAGCATATTAGTTACGTACGATTCCCATTTAATTTTGTCCAATCGAGCTGAAATTTTTACTATTGATACTTGGAAGTATTCTCCAGAGATAAAATTGGTCGTTTTCATTTTCCACTTTCCTACCCGGATCCACAGAGTTCTAAAGACCAAGATCTCAATTTTGGCATCAAAATTTTACATATTTCTCTCATTAAAACGAAGAAAATGGAATTTTTGGAAAAGTTGAAAATTACCTCTGAGATATAGCCTTTCGTATCTCCAAAAAAAAAAACAAAATTTTCAGTCCAATCGGATAAAATTTGATGAGGATCGTAATGTACTAGAATGCGACTCTATGAAAATTAGGGTTTTCCAGCAAAGCTCACAGAAGTCCACTTCAAATTTGTTTTCCCTTGAATATATGTCTCTATATTTTTTGGTGTAAAAATTTCAGTTTGATCGATTGTACCGTCTTCGAGAACCAGAAACGGTCAAAACCGAGGCGTGATGCCCTTATAATAAATGTTGGGTTCGTTGGAAAGAAGCTGTATCTAAGTATCAATCTCAAAAACGGAAATTTTCAAAAAAGCAAGGAATGAATGATAATGTGAGATTATGTATTTTTGTGCTTCTTAACACATAAATAACAAAATTGGAAGAAAAAAAAATATACACGAAACACCAGTGAATAGAAAAAAATTTCGTCTATGATAAAACACAATATGTAACGAATATTTGAAAGACAATAATTCGCTTTAGAGAGAAATTAAAAAAAAAGAATTTTTTTTCATGAAGCTAAAAATGGATGAGTTAATAGATCTTTTGCCGATGGTCTTGCTGCTGCATCACGTGTTAAACATAAACGAAAAAATTCTCGAGCTGTTACTGGACAAGTATCAGGTAAATCAGCCGGTGGTTTTGTACCATTAGCTAAACAATAATAAAAATTAATTTCTTAAATTTAATTTAATTAAATTTTACCAATAATTAATAAAACAGCTAAATGATTATGTTCTGATGACCATGGTGGTTTTCCTGTTGCCATTTCACATAAGGTACATCCTATTGACCAAATATCGGCTTTTTTTCCATGTCCAGTCTCTGCTATCACTTCTGGTGCCATCCAATTAGCTGTACCTATAAGTAAATTTATTTCGAAAAGAAAAATGTCAATGAAGAAGCTTTTCTTTTTTTGTTTTCTATTAAACCTTTCATTGACTTAAGTATTTGCCGCATTGAATGTGTATTTTGATTTTTCTTTAATCGTTTTGCACAACCAAAATCAATTAATTTTATATTACCATCAACATCAAGCATAATATTTTTTCCTTTTATATCTCTATATAAAGAAAATTAATTAATAAATTAATTAAAAAAAAAAGAAGATTGAATTTTTACCGATGAACAACACCATAATCATGAAGATAAGCAACACCTTCAACAATTTGTCGAGTATATTTTTTTAAAACATCATTATGAAATGGACCAAAAGCTGTTAATAAATTTTCGATGGTACCATTTGGAAGATACTCCTAAAGAGAAAATTTCATTTATACTATTCAATCATTAGATTTTTTTTTTCTTTTTTACCATAAAAATTTTTATTAAACGTGTATTTTCTAATGAAATGCCAAGAAATCTAAATTTTATATAATTTTGATTTCATTCTGCAGAAAGTTATTTTTTTTTTCTTACTTGACAATATATGGATGATTAAGTGCTCGAAGTATATGAATTTCTTCACGTACTGATTCATAATCACTACGTACACGTTCACTATCACCTTCATCAAGTTCGATTTCTTTAACAGCAATCATTCTTCCAGTCATTGTTAAATATGACCAAACAATACCATATGCCTATAGAAATAAGAAGGTTTTTTTTAAAAAATATTTATTCTAGTACGATAGACATCAGAGGTGCGTACAGAACAGGACTTTATGCACAACGTACAGAGTTAGTATTTTTCATTTGTTATCTCTCAACAAGCAGATATAAAATTCTTAATTATCATCTAATCTATTTATTCCACTTTGTTTCTATATAATATGCATATCTTCTTAAATAAGAATTTATTTAAAAACAATGTGAAGAATATCGAACTAATAGAATTTTTTTATATTAAACTTATAATCATCGGTGTTATTCTTCGATTCATCTCTACTCTTATTTGATTTAATGGAATAAATTAGGTTTAAAATTTTATCAACAATTCATCTATTTGTTATTGCATCGCTTCATTTGATTCACTTTAAGGTAGACATAGTTACATCCTATTATTTGTAGAAACATGATTGAATATCAGGAGTATCCTGTTCTCTATTCAGATCTAATAGATACTTACTCCTCGTCCAACTTGTCGACCTTTTCGAGCTGTTCGATAGATGTCATCACAATCAGTTTCAGTACATAATGGTGTTGTATTATAATCTTCATAACTACTTGTTGAATCAATAGTTTCACTACCTGGAAAAGAAAAAATTTGATAAAGGAAAAAATCTAATGAGATTATTTAATTTTGTTACCCCGACTATTTAAACTATCATTAACAACACGAAAAGCTGGTCGAATAGAAAGACCTGTATCTGAATTATTGTATGTATGTGTAACACTAGTAGAAGCTTCAAATGGTAATGTTTTATTATTAGTTGATGTACTTGTTGTTGATGGAGATGATATTGATGGTTTGACTAGTGCAATGTCTTGTTCATTTGATTGTGATGGTAATGAACGAAGTGATGTATCTTTACGTATTGAATCTTTTACTGTTTCATATACAGTACGAATATCAGAATTAATAAGTGAAGGTTCGTTTGGTTTTGATGATTGATGAGAATTTTGAGATATTGGTTCAACAGGATGTTCGATAGTTTGAGTTAACACAGGACTGATTTCAACTGCTTGTAAGGATTCCATACTATTCCGTCTCTGTATAATAAAAAAAAAAGAATTTTAAAGCTCTGTGAACTTATGCGAGGTCCTAGGAAAATTAGTTTGAAGTTTTTTAGAGTAAGCCGATTTCACTAATGAATTTTCAGCATTATGATTAGAATAAGAAATTCTTTCAGATGAAATACTCAACAAGATATCTCGTCTAAAAGAAGTAGATCTCAGTCAGAAGTTTTGTATATTGGTCCAATTATAAGTTAGCGACATGATTTCATGAAATTAGAACATGCATATCGTGGGATAATAAACTTTTTTAGAGCTAATTTTTATATGTGACATGTATGTTAAGATACTCTAGATATCATAAAAGAAGTCAGCGCTAGAGACCTTTGTTCAGAGGAACTATCAGTAAAAACCAGCGTTAATGATGTGACACAAAAAAAGGACATCGGCTTTCACTACATACATTTTAATTTTAAAAAAATTCTAAGTTGAAGTAAAACTAAATAGTACATTTTGTAGACAAAGCCTGAAGCCATAAAATCTCTATGCAAAGTTTTTTTCTTAGACAAACAAAAAACCTATTCTTATGACAGAATGAAAAGTTTAAAACCAATTTCAAACGATACAAATCCTTCTTCAAAGTCTCTAGATGATAGTAAGACAAAAATTTTTGTTTGGGAACTTGATAGGGATTTCTAAAAAATCGATTTTTAGGAGGAAGATTTTTTGAAGTCTGATCTTGCTGAAAACTTTACCATAGATGCGATTCATGCCATAGAGTCTATCCTAAAGTTTTCGGACTTTTTTTTTTCATTCAAAAAAAATAATACTTGTAA